ACAGAACCACAAGACAAGACACTCGCCGGTATCCCCGGCGGCGCCCCGCCATGCTCAATGATAGACAGATCGCAAGAGGAAAGCGACGAGCACACTTTGCCCCCCACGAACGAGCCACCCAGCCAGCCCCTTCCCAGCTCACGTGAGCACCCACAGTCGCGTCAAAGCTTCACGGCCGCAAGTGTGAATAGGCCCCCGGGACTGCTTCCTGACCTTCTCCGAGCCCGCCATCCTCCAGAAGTATTGCGGGCCAGAGTGACGGGAGCAGGCGGTGAATTCGCCCCCCCCTCCCCTCTCCGCGCGGCAGAGTTGAGAGTATCGCGCCTTACGACACAGCTAATGCACGTGCACATGCGCCCCCTCCCACAAACAAGCTGTGGTGCGTGCTCCTTGTGCTGAGCTGAGAGTGTACTGACCACTGTCTTTGACGTCCCTGTTACCCTGATGATTAAAGATTTTTATAACTTTCTTCGTAAGTAAGGGTTGCCCGGCCGGGTTGCTGCGCAAATCTCGCGCTGCGCTAGGCTCAGAGCGAGTTCGCGCTGCGCTAGGGGCTCAGACGGCGTGCGTGGGCCGCCGGGGTGAGGACCCCACCGGCACCGCTCCTTCTCGCGGTTCGCGCATCGCCTTCGGGAGGTCAGGCTCGGCAAGCTCTTGTCGGTCGGGCTCTACCTCAGCCCTCAGCCGAACACAGGCAGTTCGTCACGCGGCGGATGTAGAGCTCTACAGCTCTACAGCGCTCCAGAGCGCTCTACATCTCTACAGCTCTACAGCGCTCTACACTCTACATCCTCTACAGGCTCTGCCCCCCTCCGCGCCTGCGCCTGCTCAAAAGAAACAGCACGAGTGGGTGGCGATGCAGCACGAAGCCGGCACGTCGCCTGCCGACGCGCCGCTGCTCGGCCAGCGAGTCGTGCTCGGCGGGCTCTCCTCCCGCCCCGAGCTGAACGGGCAGCGGGGCGTGGCGCGGAGCTTCGAGGGCGGGCGGTACGCTGTGGCGCTCGAGGTCAGCGGCGAGAGCGTGCGGGTGCGGCCGGGCAATCTGTCGCCGGCGGCGGCGGAGCGGGCGTCGAGCGGTGCCGCGGCGGTATCCGATGAGATCGTGGCAGCGGCTGAGCGTGGCGAGGAGGAGGCGGTGCTGGCGTGGCTTGAGGGCGGCGGGCGGGCCGACGCGACGTGCGAGAGAGGCGGCGTGAGCGGCATCACGCTGCTGATGTTCGCCGCCAGCCACGGCCACGAGCGGGTGGTCGAGTCGCTTATTCGGCACGGGGCGAAGATCAACCAGCAGAGCAGCAGCGGCCTCGCCGCGCTGATGTACGCCGCCCTTTACGGCCAAGAGCGGGTGGTTGAGAAGCTGATTCGGCACGGCGCGGAGGTCAACCTGCGGAACAGCATCGGCGTCACCGCGCTGATGCGCGCCGCCAACAACGGCCACGAGCGGGTGATCGAGCTGCTGCTGCTGCACGGGGCTGAGATAAACCTGCAGAACAGCCAGGGCAACACCGCGCTGATGTACGCCGCCAACAAAGGTCACGAGCGGGTGGTCGAGCTGCTCATGCAGCACGGCGCGGAGGTCAACCTGCAGAATTGCGACGGCTGGACTGCGCTGATCGGCGCCGCCTTCTTCAACCGCCCCGCCGTCGTGCTCCGCCTCGGGGGGTGTGCGCCAGTGCACGCCCTTTTCGAGAGAGAGATTTTAGAAAACCAAAAAGAAAGGAGGAGAGCACAGTGATTTGGGCTCGGCAGCTTGTCAGCCCTCAGCCGAAGCTGTCCTGCTTTTTCGGGCTCACACAGCCCGACAAAAAAACAGGATTTATTTTTTGCCGTCCACCCCTCGTTTGTGGCGTGTGCACTTTAGCACTTGAGCACCGGATAGGGTCGATTCCGCATGGTACGGGACCCCGCGCGTGCGTTTTATTAGCTTTTACTGGCGCACTGGCCAAAAATAAATCAGACGCGCCATCGGTGGGAATGGGGTAGCGAGGGCTTGGAGCGGAAAGCGCGTGCCCCGAGAGGCGTCCTCAAACTTACACCACGGTGATGCCAAGAGCAACCCGCGCCGCCGTGAACGGCGCGGCCGCCTCCCACGCGTTCGTCACGGGATCGTATCGCTCAACCGAGCTGAGGGAGGCGCCGTACCCGTACCCGCCCACCGCGTACAGCTTGCCGTCGAGCACCGCCACGGCGGCAAGAGTCCGCGCCTCCGCCATCAGCGCCACCCCCTCCCACGCATTCGTCGCCGGATCGTACCGCTCGACCGAGCTGAGAGGGTCTTCGTCGTCGTTGATGCCGCCCACAGCGTACAGCTTGCCGTCGAGCACCGCCACGGCGTGAGCCTGCCGCTCCGAAGCCATCGGCGCCACCGCCTCCCACGCGTTCGTCGCCGGGTCGTATCGCTCCGCCGAGCCGAGGAAGTCGTCGTCGTCGTTGACCCCGCCCACAGCATACAGCTTGCCGTCGAGCACCGCCACGGCGGGAGCAAACCGCTCGACCGCCATCGGCGCCACCGACTCCCACGCGTTCGTCGCCGGATCGTACCGCTCGACCGAGCTGAGGCGGCCGTGGTACCCACGCCCGCCAGCAGCGTACAGCTTGCCGTCAAGCACCGCCACGGCGTGAGCAAACCGCGCCGCCGCCATCGGCGCCACCGCCTTCCATGCTTTCGTAGCCAAATCGTACCGCTCAACCGAGCTCAGGACATTAATTGGACCGTCGTCGTCGTTGTAGCCGCCCGCCGCATAGAGCTTGCCGTCGAGCACCGCCATGCCTGCATTCCCCCGCGCCGTCGGCATCGGCGCCACAGCTTCCTCCTCCCACGCGTTTGTGGACGGGTCGTACCGCTCCAGCTCCAGCGAGCTGACGAGGCGTCCAACGCTGTCTTCGCCGCTGATCACGAGTATGCGCGGCCTCTCGCGCGTCTTCAGCATCTCCTTCCAGGCGCGGCGCCACGCGCGGCATGTCCCCTTGGCGGCGTGCGCCTTGGTCGGCAGCTGGGCGAGGATGTGCGGGGCGAGGTCCGGCGAGAGGAGGACCTCGGAGAGCACCCACTCGGGCTGCTCCACGAGCCGTGCGGCGTGCTCCTCCGCCACGCGCAGCGCGGCGGCGCTCTCGCCCGCCTGCGCCTCGATGATGGCGCACAGCTGCGAGCGTGAGAGACCCTGCTCCTTGATGATCACGAGCAGCTGCTCCGGGGAGAGGCCAGAGAGGCGGGCGCCGATGCGGTGGGAGGCCATGTTTCCCGCGTACAGACGCAACACATTGGAACACAAGTAGACGACGCTCGCAACAGAGGGAGAGGGGCGTGACCAGAGGAGAGCGCGCACTCGCAGAGTCGCCCTCTATAAACGCACAACCCCGGGCCCTCTCACACTAGAAACTGCCTCAGCGTCAGCTGCCGTGGCGGCGGCACTCCCTCGTGGTCGCTGTGTCCTCGATCGCGCTTTCCCGGCCTCCGCGCGCCGCTGGCGCCACCTCGCTCCACACGGGCAGGCGGTTCCTGCCCGCGAGCCTGCGGCGACCCTCCCCGGCGGGTGCCACACATCTCGCAGCTCTGCCGGCCGGGGGGGTTGAGAAAAGTGCACGCGTCGCACCCCCAATCCGCCGACGCCGCCGCCTCGGCCGCCGCCTCGGCCGCCTCGGCCGCCTCGGCCGCCTCGGCCGCCTCGGCCGCCTCGGCCGCCTCGGCCGCCTCGGCCGACCCTGCCTCCTGCGCCTCGTTCGCTCCCGCCTCTCCGCTCGGGCTCCGTGCCCCCAGCTCCCGCAGGGAGGGGAAGCAGGGGCCCACGTCGTGCGGCTCTGCGCCGCCAGCCTCCTCGTCGCCGCCGCACAGCTCCTCCTCCCCGCCGCCCTCCCACGCCCACTCGCTCCAGTCCTCGAGGGCCACGCCGCCCGCCTCCCCGCTGGCCGCCCCTCCCCGACCCGCCGCCGCCGCCGCCGCCGCCCCCGTCCGCGCGCCCAAAGCCGCCTCCTCCTCCCGCACGCGCCTCTCCTCCGCCTTGCTCATCAGCACCACCGGAGAGCCCTGGCCCAACTGATACCCCGAGCGGAAATCTCGATGCGCCGCCGCCGCCTGCTTCGCCTGTGGCGACGCGCCCTTCTCGCCGGCAACTGCTCCGCGCGAGCCCGCCGCGTCGCGTAGCCCGCCCGCCTGCAGCCCGCCCGCCTGCGCAAACTTGGTGGCGGAGAGGGCGAGCAGCGTCAGGTGGAACGGCGGCCTACGCAGCACCGAGACGCAACCGAGATGTAGCCGAGATGTGCAGCCGAGAGGGCAACCACCGTGAGGGTTGGGGCGGCCGCAAGTTCGCGCGCAGGACCGCCTCAGCAGCGGCGGCGATGGCGGCGGCGCCTCGCTCCCCGCTGGCGCCCGACGGCATGGCGCACGAGCGACTGACGCAGAGAGGGCCGCCGACGCGTCGCGCTCGCCGGTCGGGTTCTGCATCGTGCGTGTTCCGTGGTGCCGCCACCGCACCTGTAGCGAGCTCGCAAACCGGCCGCGCGACGCCGCCTGTTCACACCAGGAGGGCTGTGAAGAGACGCCGTCCACGCCCTCGACGGCGGAGGCGCCGCGCGACAGCCGCCTCGTCCGCTAGCCTCCGCCGCAGGTCCGGCGCGAGCACCTGCAGCACCAGCCGCAGCGCCTCCACCGAGTGCGCCGCTTTGAACGAGTCCTCCACCGTCACCGAGAGCGGCGGCCCGCTCTCCTTGACCTAACCCACGACGGACGCCCCATCCACTGACGACTCCTCCCCTCAGCGGCGGCCCGCTCTCCTCCTCCACCGGCTCGGGCAATCTCGGGCAATCTCGGGCAATCTCGGGTAATCTCGGGTAATCTCCTCCACCGGCTCGGCGCACGCCCCCTCGCACTGCGCCGCCAGCCTCCGCCCTGCGGCGGCGCCGAGCGCGCGCTGCAGCGCCGCCAGCCCCGCCTCTCGCGCCTCCGCCACCGTGGTGCAGCCGGTGGCGTGCAGCGCCGCCGCCGCGCGAGCGCCTACGCGCCGCAAGGGGACGCAATTCTGGGACGGGGTCGCGAGCACAGTATTGCAAGCGCGGTACAGTATTGCGAGCACAGTATTGCAGCGCGCGCAGCGGCAGCGGCGCGACGAACGCGCTCGCCTCGGAGGCGGGCAGCGCGGTCTGCGCGTCCGGCTTGTGCAGCGAGGCTGCGAGCTTGGCGAGCAGCTTGTTGTGCGCGACGCCGGCGGAGCTGGTCAGGCCCGTTGCGCGGCGGACGGCAGGCCTCCGCCGCCACTGCAGACGCCGCACGGAGCAAGTCGAGCCCGCCGCCGCCGCCGCCGCCGCCGCCGCCGCCGCCGCCACCGCCGCCGCCACTGCCGCCGCCGCCGCCGCCGCCGCTGCTACTGCTGCCGCTACTGCCGCCACCACTGCCACTGCTGCTGTCGCTGCCGCTTTTGTTGCTGCTACCGCCGCCACTGTTGCTGCCGCCGCTGCCGCTGCTCGCTGCCCGCAGGTCCATCGGGCGGTACGCGGTGCCCGCGCGGGCGAGAGCTTCTGCCGTGGTCGTGCCCTGCGCGGCGGTGTGGACGTGCGTGCCTGGCGCCCAGGCGCCAGCGCTAGCACGCGCCTCGGCCGCAGCTGTGACGTCGATGAAGAACTCGTCCAGACCGACTCGCTGCACCGGCCCAAAGGCGCGAAGCGCCTGCATCGCCTCATCAGACGCCTCGCGATACGGCGTCAGGTCCTCACCGGCTATCAGCCGCAAATCGGGGCAGCGAGCTACGGCCTCCGTCGTCCACGACGAGGGTGTTGCATGTCACGACGAGGAACTTTTGGGTTACGGCGACTGGCCGCTCCGCCGGAAGCCCGTTGCGGAGCATCTCGACTTGGCAGTAGAAGTAGTCGAGGTCCAGTAGGACGATGGCGCGAGCCTTCATGGATGTGGTCTCTTGTTGGCAAAACAGAAAGCTTCCGGGTGGGCGTCAGGCGGCGGGTACATAAAATGAGAAAAGAATCCGCGTGCCCGCGGCGGCCGCTGTGGGTGTGCGCGCCACCGGATTCTTTTTCATTTTATGTGGCTCAACGTACATTCCCGTAGGAGGACTCTTAGAAGAGAGAGGGGTTTCTCGGAGGTCAGTGCACCACAAACACCAGCCTCTCCAGTTTGGACGCCGCTTCGTCGTTCGTCGATCGCCTGGGTCCACACTCTCTTGGCTTCTCTATTTTCTTTCTTTCTTTCTTTCTTTGTGTGTGTGTGTGTGTGTGTGTGTGTGTGTGTGTGTGTGTGTGTGTGTGTGTGTGTGTGTGTGTGTGTGTGTGTGACTCACTCACTCACACAACAACTCTCTCTCACAACAGACAGGCTCGATACAAGTGCGGACTGGCGCGTGCTAGCACTAACACAGGCAAACCACCGGAGCCGCCTATTAAGCGAATCCGGTGAATTGCAAACCCGCACCTCCTCGCCTGCTCGCCTGCTCAAACCGGCAGACAGAGCCTCTCGAATGCTGTGCGAGTCGCGTGGGGTTATCGCCACCCTGCGCGTGCAAGCGCAACCTTGATGTCGGCGTTGCGAGCGAGGTTCTTCAGCGCCTCCGCGGCCCGCGTGCCAAGCTGCGGCTTCGTGCCATCGCGAGCCAGCGCCACCAGAGGCGCAATACCGCCCGCCCGCGCGATCGCCACCTGGCTGTCGGCGTTCTTGCGAGCGAGGACCGCCAGCGCCCCCGCGGCCTCGTACTTCTGCCCGTACCCTCCGCTGCGTAGCTGCTCCATTGCGATCGCCACCTTGATGTCGTTGTTGTAGCAAGCGAGCTTGCTCAGCGCCCCCGCGGCCTTCTCCTTCTGCCCGTCCGTGCCATCGCGAGCCAGCGCCACTAGCGGTGCGATGCCGCCCGCCCTCGCGATTGCCACCTTCTTGTCTGCGTTGTTGGTAGCGAGGACCTTCAGCGCCAACGCGGCCTTCTCCTTCTGCCCGTCCGTGCCGACGAGAACCAGCGCAACCAGCGGCGCGAAGTCACCCGCCTCCGCAGCCGCTACCGCGACCTGCAGCTGCGCCGTCCTAGCCGGAAGCTCTTCCTCCGCCTGCCTCCGAGAGCGTTCGACAGCCTCCTTCTGCCTGCTCTGCAGGACCTTCAGCGCCCCCGCGGCCTTCTCCTTCTGCCCGTCCGTGCCATCGCGAGCCAGCGCCACTAGCGGTGCGATGCCGCCCGCCCTCGCGATCGCCACCTTGTTGTCCGCGTTGTTGGTAGCGAGGACCTTCAGCGCCAACGCGGCCTTCTCCTTCTGCCCGTCCGTGCCGACGAGAACCAGCGCCACCAGCGGCGCGATGCCACCCGCCTCCGCAATCGCCACCTTGTTGTTATCGGAGTTGCTAGCGAGGTTGCACAGCTCCCTCGCGGCCTGCTCCTTCTGCCCGTCCCCTCCGCAGCGCAGCTGCGCCACCCACTTTCGCACCTCTGCCTTGTGGGCATCAACTTTCCGCTCGGTGCTCGGTGTCTTCACAGACCCAGGCCACGCGCAGCACTTCGTTGGGAGCACTGCAGTAAGGACAACGGGAACTGCTGCTGACACCGCTGCGACAATGATTTCGTCGAGAACCATGCTGAGGCCTGAGGGCAGTAGCGAAAACCGAGACGTTTCGCCAACAAGGAGCTTAGGACGTCGAGGCTACTGTAGCGTGCTCAACAGCCGCCGTCGGTGCGAGCGAGAGGGTGCTCGCCTTGTCGGGCGCGAAGCGCGCTAGGACTGCCAAAGGAGGCGGCCGGAGGACGTCTAAGGAAATTCGGTTATATTTACGGAAGATGGACGATCCAAGATCAGGGACACTAGGGAACGGGAGCGGGGAGCGCGAGGGGGGCAGCAGCCGCGGCCGCCGCAGGGGCAGTGGCTGTCGCAATACGCGCAATCGCAGGAACCACCAACTAACCCGGCGGCCGAGTCGGCCCTCGCTCGTCGAGATCTGGGGTTTGCGCTCGCTGACGCGCGCGAGGCGCTCTACCGCTCAGGGAACAATGCTGCCGCGGCGGCACTGCTGGCCGACCGCGCTGCCACGACACACAGGGTCGTTTCTAGTGGCAGCGGTGCGCCCGATGCGCCCCGGACCCGCTGCCGCTCGGCTTCACCCTCGTCCAGCGCAACACTGCCCTCTCCCTCTAGCGCCCCCTCCCCTCCTCCTCACTCTGTTTAGTAGAGCTCCGAGTGTTCAGTACGAAGGCCCTTTCCTGAGGGAGGGTGTAGAGGATGTAGAGTGTAGAGCGCTGTAGAGCTGTAGAGGTGTAGAGCGCTGGAGAGCGCTGTAGAGCGCTGTAGAGCTGTAGAGCTCTACATCCGCCGCGTGACGAACTGCGTGCGTTGTAGAGCGATGTAGAGGCGCTCTACAACGTGAAATCTCTACAACAAACTCTACATCATACGAACGAGGCACGGTCGCTCTCCGACATGAGGCGCGTTGCACTTGCCAGTGCTGCCCTGGCCTTCTGTCTGCCCGCCCAATGGGTGGCAGGTGCCTCTGCTGCTGTGGCATGCCTCACGGCTGCGACTGGCCGGCGCCCCGGCGCGTCAGCTCGGCTCGGCGTAGCGATCTTGGCCAGCGCAACTCGCCTGGACTCAACGCTCAGCCAGGAGCTCCCGAACGCGCTCGCTGGCGCGAGTCATGGCGCATGCAACGCTCAACAATGATCGCCTCGCCTCGCGCAAATGCGACCGTCCTCGCAGCCGACAGTCCACCGCCTGCTACAGAAGCACTGCGACGAATGCGGCACTGGCGACGCATGGCAGGCTGGTCATGACGCAGTTGTAGGGTGTTGTGTGTCGTCAGAGTGACTCTCTGTGTGTCAGGGATAGTCAGGGCCGTCCATCAGAGCTCCAGTAAGCTCGGAGACACCCCATTAGCGCGGCTCGACCTCTTTGAGTCACTGCCTTCCCGCCGGTTTGGCTGTAGAGCCTCTACAACAAACTCTACAGCAAAATCGCGCTCTACATCGCTCTACAACGCACGCAGTTCGTCACGCGGCGGATGTAGAGCTCTACAGCTCTACAGCGCTCCACAGCGTCTGAACCACAGCGTGTCCCGACTCGACTGCCGGCGTCCCAGTCCGGGGGTGTTTCTCTTCTTATCCGTTACCATGTAGAGCAACGCCGAGGGCGGGCCCTTTCGGGCTCGGGCCGCCCTCTCGCCCGCACCTCTGCGGGGCTCGCACGTGGTAGCGGCGGTCTGCTCACGACAGTGAGTGGGCTCTTCACGCTATCCACTGCGCCGCGGCTACGCCGCGCCCTATCCAAGCCCAGGGCTTGGTTCGCCGATAACCGCATCTCGCTCTGCGCATCTCTGAGGCTACCCGCGCGCCGACTGCTACGCGCGCGGCGAGAGGCGCACCCCATCAGGGACAGGATTGAGGCCCCTGTACGAGCTCGGCAACGCCGCCGTCGTTGCCCTCCCGAGCCCTCAACACCGTGCTGCACATAGCGCAACCCGTTCTGCGCACATACCGCAGGGAGGAGTTTTCACTCAACCATCCGAGTTTCTCCTTCCTGCAGGGCGAGAGACATCGGCCTCTCTACTTCCAGGAGAACATCTACGCCACACGCTATCCCGACGGTCCACAACCCACACTGCAGTCGATCCAGCCCTCGCACTCCCCACTGGAGATCTAGCGAGGCCCCCCAGGCTGGGACAGGATTGGAGCCCCTGTGCTGCGTCTGTGGTGATATGTGGGGGACACTTTCTCCTCCCTATTCATGTCAGTGACTCGACTGCGTCGAGGGGGGGGACGTCTGAACCACAGCGTGTCCCGACTCGACTGCCGGCGTCCCAGTCCGGGGGTGTTTCTCTTCTTATCCGTTACCATGTAGAGCAACGCCGAGGGCGGGCCCTTTCGGGCTCGGGCCGCCCTCTCGCCCGCACCTCTGCGGGGCTCGCACGCACAGCGCTCTACATCTCTAGGGAGGGGTGGAAGAAATGTGAAACGCTTCGAATTTGTGAAACCCTCCTTCCCGACTTTTTTCGCGAGCCACAGGCGCTCGCTTGTGAGCCACAGCGCCTCCGGACAGCGTGCCGAGCGCCTGCTACAGGCCTGCCTGCAGCCCAGCCGCACTCGCTGCGGCGGCAGCTGGTCGGTTCGGCCTGGACTCGCGCGCGACGAGATGGGAGCCCAAGTATGTGAGCGCGCGGCGCGTCGACCCGCCTCCGCTTTTGCAACAAAGTCTGCTTGGCTTGTGCAGGTGATGCCCAGAGCAGCAGAGACGACGCCGGCAGCCTCGGCTCGACCTCGAAGGCGGATCTCGTGGCCAAAAACCTGTGCTCTATTCGTCGGTGGTTCACAGTAGACGTCTGTGTAGGGCAGCTCTCGCGTCGACTATGCGTGAGCCCGGACGGCGAGGACTGCATCATCGACACGAGGATATCTTCCGCGTGCCCGACTGCTCTACGTCCTGGGTCGTCCTCGAGCCGTCGATGTACTATCTGCAAGACCAGTTTTCACAAGAATTGGGAGCGTAGCCAGCCCGCAGTACCCTATAAGGCAGTAACCAGAGCGCACACGGACCACGGTGTCGTAAACCCTTGTACGGTAAATAAAGGAAAAGCCGTACCATGTCCATGAGAAATCGTGCGTGCACAGCGGTGTGCGTGTTGTGTGGTCACCTCTGCCGCGCGCCGCCGTGTGTCGCGGTATGTCTCTCTTTTGCGCGTAGTGGGTTAGTGCAAAATGTGAGATAAGAGTAATCTAAGAACAAGACACAATACACAGTGCACGCACGCGAGATAAGAAAACAGCTGAGACGAAAGGGCACCACGTCGGTTCGCCGTGGAGAGACTGAGTCGGCCCGACACCCCTCCTGGATCACAGGGGCGCGTCCGGAAGCAGCTTCACCGTCTTGCCTCCTCCCCTCTCGCCCGACCCGACAACGACGCTGTCCAGTGGCGCGAGCGGCGGCGCCACCTCCCTCAGCACGGCTCTCCGCGCGGGGGCTCCGCTCGGCGCAGCGGCCAACGCGGCGGCGGCTGCGGCGGCGAGCTCAGCGCTGCGCGACGCCTCCTCTCCCGCCTCGTCGACCGAAGGGAAGACCTCGTGGTGGCGGTGGGCTCTGTGGTGGTACGGCCGCGCGTCGCGCTTGATCAGGCGAGGCGTGTGCTGCTCGAGGGACGAGACTGCGCGCCGGACCTCGTGCGCCGCCTTGTCGCATGCCTGCAGGAAGGTTCCAGGAAAGGTCCAGGGGCGGTCTAGGGAAAAGGCGTCGCGGTGCGCCGCCTTGTCGCACGCCTGCGCGCCCTGCCGCACCGCCTGCCGACCGAGCTGGTGCGGCATATACTTGCGCTTGAGCGTCTTGCGCCGGCCCACCAGCGCGCAGCCGACGCAGATGAGGCCGATGCCGAAGCCCATCACGGAGAGGTTCGGCGACACGGGCACGTACTTGTGCTCCTGGTCACAGGATTGAAGGAAGGAGTACAGGGAGGAAGGAAGGAGTTCAGGGCACGTCACAGCATTGAGGGAAGGAAGGGAGGGAGGAAGGAAGGAGTTCAGGGGCACGCCCTTGTGCGCCTGATAGACGACGAGTCCGCCGAGGACGGAGGTGGTGGTGACGGTGCCGTACTCGATGGGCAGCAAGCGCGAGGCGGGCAAGTGGACCAAACCCTTGCGGAGCCAGTAGATGGCGGCGAGCGAGAGGAGCGCCCACGCAAGCAGCACGACCCAGAAAAAGGCGAAGCAGAGCTGAGAGTCCCCGACCGCGGTCAGTGCGAGCATCGACGAGCCGCCCTTCATGCACATCTGCACGAGCGTCTCGAGGCCGCCTACAAGCGAGGGCCCGGGCAGGCTCCGAGCAGCTTCAGGGCGCGACAAGGCCAACGGCCATTCTTTGGCCGCCGACAACGATCGGGTACGCAAACGGCATCGCACTCTCCAGGCGAGAGGTGCTTGCAGCTCCCTCTGCAGCCCCGCGCACGGGAGAGGGGGAGCCGGTGACCTGCGGTGGGCAAAGAACAAACGGCCCGGTACGGTGAGAGGCGATGCAAGCGACGCGAGGCCGAGCCAGGGGCGACGACGAGGGGGGGACGGGGGGGGGACGGGGGGGGGGGGGGCAGGCCCCAAGTCGCGAGACTCTCTCGCTCCTCCGTGGGACGGCGGGAGCGAGAGAGGGAGCGCCATCTCGGGGGCATCTCGGGAGAGCTTTGTCGGGATTGTCGCCACCGGGTAATCTCGGGTGATCTCGGGTAATCAATCTCGGGTAATCTCAGGGAGTCTGGAGCTTTGTCGGGGAGCCACCACCTGGGGCGAAGCGGTCCGCAGCCCACCCGCCGACGCTGCAGCCGGAACAGCAGCCATCGATGGCGCGGAGACCTCTGCGGCGCACCCTGCCCTCACTGCCAGCCAGGCGGCGGCGGCGGTCGCTGGAGCGGCGGCCGCGCTCGCAGGCGAAGCAGCGGCAGCAGCGGCGGCGGAGGAGGGGCGAGGCACGGCAGCGGCGGCGGCGGCGATGGCGGCAGCGGAGGGGGCGGAGGCAGAGGGCGCGGCGGCGGAGAGCGCGGTGGCGGCGGGGGCGGAGGCAGGGGTGGCGGAGAGCGCGATGGCGGTGGCGGCGGGGCAACGTCCGCTCTCGAGTGTGGAGGGCGAGCACGCGGCTGGCTCGCCGCGGCACGAGCACGCGCCCCCTTCGCCGAATGCGTCGGCGGCGGCGGGCGTCGCGGCTCTGAGCGGCTGGATGTCTGCGCGGTGCGCCGCCTCGTGCCTACCCGACATGGCAAGCTGAGGTGAGGGGTGTGCGCGCCAGAAGAAGGGGGAAGGGGGGGGGGGGGGGTATGGGTGTGGGTCGGCGCGCCGCGGGATTACAAGGGCTATTTGCAGTGGACAGTCCTCGAGCGCTAGTCGGGAGACAGGGCGGGGCGAGTGGTCCAGCATCTAAGTGAGTGTGGATCTAGCGTCTCGTGCCGCACGACCAGCACAGCGAGCGCTGTCACAGAGAGGACGAGGACGAGGAGGTAGCCTGCAGGTTCGAAGGGGGGGGGGGGTTAAGAAGCGGACTCTGTCTCGAAAGAGCGCGAGAGGGGCGCGTCCCCGGAGAGGGGCGCAGTCCGGCGAGGGCCGAAGAAAGCGCAGCCAAAAGACCGCGCGAGAAAAGGGGGTGCGGAGGTGGCCGCATCTAGCCCCAGCCGCCAAAGCCGAAGGGGTTGCTGGTCGGCGAGAGGAGCCTCGCGAGCGCGGGCGCATCGTACGACACGACCTCGGCAGGCGCGTACCAGCCCGTGACAGCTATCCCGCCCAGAATCAGCGCCCCGCCGTGGTAGTCGCATCGCCGCAACTCCTCGTGCAACACGCAGCGCGAGAGGGCGGCGTTGGCGACCACGATGGTTGCCATCAGCGCCGCCGCGAGAGACGCGGGCGTGAAGGCGAGCGCGAGGACAAAGACGCCGTTCCCGCCAAAGTAGACGGTGAGGCCCGCGAGCCAGATGGCGTGCGTGCGCGGGACGCGCGCCAGCGGCCCACGTATACTCTGCGTGCCGCAGCAGTCTCCGAGCAGCACGTGCGGCTCGATGAAGGTGAGCGCATATTTCTGGATGGTGATCCCGATGGCGAGTAGCAGCACGGAAAGGAGGCAGAGCGCTATCCCGATGGCGCCGCCGCTGCCGTCCTCGCCCGCAGGAGCGAGCGGCGGCGGAGGAGGCGCGGTGGACGCGGAGCAGCTCATCGCGACGTCCTTGCGACGCGGCGGGCGTCAGCACTGCGAACGCAGGACGGCGCCGCGGCGCGTTGGAGCGCCCTTCCCAAGGATGTCACAGTCGCAAAAAAAGAATTTTACAACCAAACTCCCTCGCACGACACTGGGCACAGGACTGGGCACGGGACTGGCTCGCACTGGCACTAACACAGGTACACCGTGCAAAAAAAGAACTCGCGCAATTCAGGCCTCCCGGAGGGCCCAAATCCAGAATTGGCGGGCAATTGACCTCCCGCCGCCGCCGCCGCCGCCGCCACCACACGCCGCCGCCAACGCCGCCGCCACACGCCGCACGCACCCGCGCGCCGCAGCGCGCCGCACGCCCATCCTCCCCCTCGCCCGCGCGGCAGGCACGATCTCGTACGCGCAGCTCTGCCAGCTGGTGGAGGTGGAGTGGAGGCGGCACGGGCCGCCCGCGGGCCTGTACATGCAGCACCGCGCCGCCGCGCCGATCGCGCCGCAGCGGTCGGCTGGGGTGCACACTGCACTTCACATGCGCTGGCGTGCGAGAACCGCGAGATGAAGAGGAGAGATGGGGTCCGTCCCCGTCTGCCATACCTCTCTTTTTTCGCGTTCTCAAAATCATTCAGTCCAAAATTGCTGGTAGAGCTAGTGGTAGAGGCTCAGTCTCAGCCTGCACCGCCGACGAGCGTCTTCTGCGCGCAAACCGCACGGACAAGCTCGCGTCAGCCTCCACCGATGCTGAGGGTGAGGCAAAGCCCCGGCTGCGAGCCCGGGCGAGCAGACCGGTCCGGACGGAGTAGCCGCGGCCCTCTCGCCGGGGCGTGGCGCCGAGCGCCTTGGCCAAGAGCGCGAGCGACACCTATGGTGTCAACACCGCATCATCCATCCGCAAAGACAGAGACGACCCTGAGCACCATTGCTCCAAAAGCTGACAGTGAGAGCCATCGAGCCGAGTGCGGCGGTAACCGCGAGCGGCGCAAGCTCCAACTTACGTGACAGCGGCGGGCGCTTGGTGCGTCGGAAAAATAGGTTGGCGCTTCTATCTTTACTTCAATTCCACGTTCGACGCGACAGAGGAGGAAGTGACAAGGGAGAGAGCGACGAGAGTGGGACGGCCGCGAGGTGGCACGAAGGTTGAAGCGAGAATCGGAGAGAGACTGCGAAGAGAGATAGGAAGAGGCAGACTCCCTAGGGTAGGCGACGGCTAGCGCATCACACTCCTCTCCTTAAAATCCCTGTGTGGTGGCGGCGTGCCGTTCTCCCATCCCTCCCTTGGGTTGTCTGTTTTCTTTCTTTCTTTTTCAATTCCACGTTCCTGGCAATTTGCGCGGTTGCGGATGAGGATCTCGGTTCCCTTGGAGCACTTGGAGTGCAGTCAGTACCGGTAAACTCCCTTCTTCTCATCCTTTATTTACCGGGACCACCTTGCCGGACGGCCGGACGACATCGCCTCGATGCCGTTCAGACTCCCCTTCATTCTCGCGATTGTCTACGCGCCGCAAGCACTAACTCGATCTTCATCAGAGAGCATCGTCGATTGGAGATTGGGTAGCACTAACTGGCGCATCCATGCAGGCCGGTCGCCGAGCGTGACTATCACGCACCCAAGCGCCAACTCTGTTCCCGACAAGCACACTGTCTTTCTTGACTATGACGGTTCCTCTTCCTTCGACACCCGATGGGCTGTCGATGATGTCTCTTTCCCCGATTGGGTTGAGGTCACTCCCACACAGGGCGTGGTGCCTGCCGGCGTCAGTGAGGGCGCTCTCTTCACGATCAGCGCTGCGGCCTCAGGTGTGGCCGAAAGAGAGAAGCCATACGCGACCGCCGTCAACTTGACGATAATGCCTGACCACTTCAATCATACATATGTCATCGCAGTGCCTGTACTTCTCATCGTGGCTCCCGCAACCAGTGCTCGCTACTCAATGTGGGGCGAGGCACGGCAGAGGACTAGCAGCATCTACTATTGCGAGCGGCCAAAGTCGCCTCCACCAGTTGAGGTCAAGGTAGGAGTGAAGCACGATCTTTACTTCACGGCCTGCGACTCGGAGAGCCTGCGTGTGGCGCATTCGCTCCCATCGGAGGGCCTACGCATCGCGAGCGCACTGCGCCACCCCGACCGTGAGCCGCAGTATGGGCCCCAAGCGTTTCACGTTGTGGTTCGCGACCGAATCTCGTCGGCGGAAGACGAAATGAAGCTTGAGTACGCCTCATCTGGACGGTACAAGGCAACTGTGGTTGCGCCGCTTGCCGGCGAACACGAGCTACTCCTACTCTTGGACGGGACAGAGGTCGACGTTCGCACTATAGTCGCGCAGTGTCCGTCGCCGCTAGTATCTCTGCCCGATCGCACGTGCGGTTGCGGTGAAGATGTCGAGCCTGGCTCTCGCCTGTATCATAGCGATGAGGTGGACACCGTTCATTGCCAACCGTGTCGCTTTGGGCACCGGAAACCGTTCCCAGGCAATGAAGCGTGCTCGCTGGCAGCGTGGCTCATCATCGTAGTGGCAAGCAGCGCCTCCGTCCTATTCACCATCGTTTTGATGGTCTTCGTACGACGCGTTTACCTCCGTAACCTGCTATCCCTGGCTGCAGTCGAGCGAGAGAGCGCCGAGAAGCAGAAGCGCATATGCAAAGCGGTGACAGGCGTGACCACGTTGGAATTTCCTCTTGCGGTGATTCCACTCTCCAAGTTGCGCGAACAAGGTCGCCTTGTTCCCTACGAAGAGGCACGCGACTCAGGCGCACTCCGCTGCTGTGATACAGTCGAGTAGGCGGTGGCATTTGCTGACGCCCATCCTCTGATGTTTGTCTCGCATCAGTGGCTATCGCTCCGCCACCCTGACCCAGAGTCGCAACACTACCCTGTAATTATCAAGGCAGCGGAGGCTCTATGCGCTATGCACGGGATCGACCAAGACTCGATGCATATCTGGCTCGACTACCACTCGATTCCTCAGGAGAATGATACCACCAAACGACTCGCGATCGGGTCCATCGCGCTTTACGCTGCCTGCTCGCACTACTTCCTCGCTTGCGCTCCCGAGGCGCTCCACCAGGACACGAGCCCGCCCTGCAGGGTCGACGCGGACACGTACCTCCAGCGAGGGTGGTGCAGGCGCGTGGTTGGAAACCGTTGCGCCGCCGTATTACCGTACTTCTCACTTTCTTCTCGCCGCCCCCTTCAGGCTCGAGCAGTGGGCGTTTATGGCCATCAACGGGGCCGAGCAGATGTACCTTTTTGAATCTGGCCTCACCCCTCTCTCAGAGCGGCGGCGGTGGATCGAGGAGTCAGTCAATGTTTTTCAGGGCGACTTCACCCACGAGTCAGATAAGGCCCTCCTCGTCGACGTCGTGCTCGGGTTGTATGGGCTCGCCGTCGTCGCCACGCTTGACCCCAGTGTCGCCTCTAGGAGAGGCAAGAGCTCCTGCGCGCCCCACAGCTCATCGCGCGAACTGATCGAGCTGATAGCAGAGCGACGGTGCCTCATCTTCCCACGTCAATACTTCGGCGATCTTATTGAGCGGCTGGAGGCGGAACTCGAGGCGGGGTCTTCGCGTGGGCGCTCCAGCTTCGGAGAGACATACCGAGCTGCGCGCTCCGCTCGTCAGACGCTGCACAACAGTTGCATCGTTTCCGTCCGCAAATTCAGCGTGTAGAGGGACAATACATGGACCGCACGGGCGGGGACCTGTTCCTTTTTACCCATCTCCTAGTGCTCCTAGTAGAGGTGTCCGTTTTATTTATTTAGACATGGATATCATGATACATGAACGCATGGGTGTGAAATATACGGCTTTTGTGTGCGCAATCTGTGCATGTGGATGTGCGTATGTGTGCATGTGCATGTCGTGTAAAGTACGTCAGAATGAGCATTCCAGCATACAAACAAAAAGCGTGTTTCACCCACTTATGTGAGGGTTCGGCCGCGTGGCGACTGGCGAGTGGAATCAATCACCCGGGTCTCCTTGGATGACATGGCAGTCCAATACAAACTCTCCCTCTCGAGCGCCCAGCTGGTGAGTGGTGTGATCACAGGTCCGCGCCAGAAGCGAGAGCGAGACGACACGCACGGAGGGAAGGCATCCCCGCCGACGCTGGCCGCGGGGGCAGCGCCCAACCTGTGCACCACCTGTACCCCCTTCTCGGGCCAGCTTCTCTCGAGGTCTCGAGATTCACACCCCCGGCGAAGATCGTTTTCCATGGCGCTTTGGCTGTCGTCGCAAACGCTCGGCTTTGCATCGGAAATCCCAGTGACGGCGCCTTACATTGAACACCGCCGAACGGTCCGCGTGGCGGTGCCGCGCGCCTTGCTGCCATTTAGCGGCCTCGACGAGGATGGGAAGCCGTCTGGCATGCTTGTCGACTTGGTCTTGGCCTCAATGCCGGGACTAAATGTTGAGTTCGAGCTTGTCAACGAGGGTGAGCTTCCAGTCTCGAACGAAAATGTCGTTGCGCACCTCCACCGCACGCCGAGGCAAGCGGACAAATACTATTCTCGCGACGTCCTCGCCTTCAAGCATGCAGCGTACACCAAGGCCGACTCCGGAATCGTCCTGGACCACGTCTTCGCTGACTTGGTTGCAAGCAACCTATCCGTTGCAGCATGGCCGGGAGCGACGTACCAGAACGGCTGCGCCTACGAACACTACTACGGCCCCAAAGGCCCCGGTGCACACCTGCACTTTGAGCTAGAATCTCCGCTGGAGCGCCACATGAAATTCCTACGCGGAGAGGCGGACGTCCTCCTGACGGACGTGTCCTTCTTTGACGCGCTGAGCATCACTGACCCCCCGGGCCCCACGCAGAAATGGCCCATCACGAGTGACGGCCTCATCGAGATTGAGAATGAGAGCCTCATACGGTTCCAATTTGCATCAGCAGAGCTGGGCGCTTTCTTCGATACTGGTCTTCGAAATGTGTGCGGAGGGGGGAGGCAGGACGCTAAATACAGGGCCATCGTCGCCAAATATGGCTTGCCCGAATCGCGCCAGAACGCGTGGTTCCAAGAGTTCTGCCTGCCTTTGCTAGGCGGGGCAGGTGATTCGCAATGTCCGGCCTAAGGCTTTTGAGCTTCGAGACGGAAATCCAACCCGAACCGCAGCCTTGGGACAGCTGTAGGCCTCCCACATGCGTACAGCGATCAGCGTACACCCCTCCCCTGGTCGCGCCTACCGACTTCCACCTTCGCATCGTTGTGCGACCAAATAAATGAAAAAAGGCCGGGATTGGGTGTTGGGTGGTGTTGAGATCCTGCCATCCTCCTCCTACTTTTTACATGCGGACATCCTAAGTTACACACATCCTAAGTTTTTTTGTCGTCGGCACGCTATTGAAGGAGAATGAAAAAATCTTCCCGTGGCCTGTATGTACCCCCTGACTAGTTGCAAAAAGTCTCACGTGGAAAACCCAACAAAAAACGCGAAAACGCCGTCACGGCCAGCTCGGCACTATCTACTCAAAAAAAGTGACATAGAGCACCCACGTTTTAAGCGTTCTGTGCACATACACAAGGTCCGTCCGCGTGCACCGCCAGCTTCCCAGGGCCATAGCGCAAAAAACGAAGGAGGAGATGCATCCTAGCTGTCGCCACCGAAGGCGACTCGACGCCGCTGAGATCGGAGATCAAGCTCTCACACGTCGCTCCTTTGACGCCGACGTGACTCACCCGTGCAGAGCACATCAGGACACGGTCTCGACGCGCTCGGTACGACGCCTGCGACCCGTTTCGGGTCAGGTGGCATGACGCTCATCGCGCCCGCCAGCGCTGCCGTGCAGGTTGCCACGACGAGGTCGAGCACGCTTCTATACGCTCGCCCAGCCTTCCTTTCTATCCCATTAGGCAGCCTGGGAACGGTGGCGGTCAGAGGCAAAGCCTACGAGGGGTGGTGGAACCACATGTCACGGCCACCGCCGGCTCGACCCCACGATAGCCTCCGAAGGCTGACTTTGAGGCACCATCATGGGACGATGTCGACGACCTGGGTCGCTCTCGCGGTAGCCAGGTAGCCCCCCATACTAGTAGCACCAGCCATGGCCTCAGGGAGCGCGGGCGAGGGCGCTGGGAGCAACACGGACAAAAAAACATCAAAATTCATCATTGTCCACAGCACCCGTATTTGCAACTAGTCCCCTGTGGTTTGTTAGTGCCAGTGAGCAGTGTGCGCGCCAGTCCCGTGCCTAGTGTTGTGAGAGGGAGTTTGGTGGCAAAATTCTTTTCGTACCTGTGTTAGTGCCAGTGCGCGCCAGTCCCGTGCCCAGTGTTGTGCGTGAGGGAGGGCGAGACGATCGAGGGGTCCCGTACCACGCGGAATCGGCCCTATCCAGTGCTCAAGTGCTCAAGGGAGTTTGGTTGTAAAATTCTTTTCGTTGTACTGTTGGCTCTGCCCGAGCGCGGAGCGGGCTCTGCATGCTGATGCTCTCTCTGACTGACTGACTGCGGTTCGACACCTACCTCCATCCCGACCGTGGAACCCCAACTTCAACCGTCATATCTCGGGCGGACTGGCACCTCAGGAGCTCATCCTGGGCGGTTTTGGGGAGTCTTGGGGGTGTACCTGAAGGTGGTAAAAAGAGTTTTGCACCGCAGCTTAACCGGCGGGCGTGCTGTGAGCAGAAAGAAAACAGCCGACCGAGCTATCTCTTCGCGGCAAGCTCGCGGGTACTCCTCGTCGTTGCCGTTGCGATCCTTCGGTCCCGCTGTCAGAAATGAATGGCCTCGCTGAGCCGGGCGAGGTGCTGGTGTCTCGGACGGAGGAGGACGGCCACATCGAGCTCACCGTCTCGTCCGCATCCCTCTCTCCGTCTCGCATCTACGCCTACCCGCTCGTCGATTCGCTCGTCGATTTTTTCGAGCAGCTGCGGGTGGACGCGGGGATGGCCGACGGAGCCGTGGAGCTGGTCGCATCGTCGGGCTCCGTAATCTCGTCCGGCATGGCGCACGCGTTTGCGTGGAAGCCGGGCCGATCACTGCGGCTCGGGAGCGAGCTCCTCGCCCTCAGCTTTTGCGACTCGACTGAGGGCGCGCCGCTGATGCGCCGGCTCTCGTCGGCGAACCCGACGCGGATTGAGAGCGACAAGGCGCCGATGAAGTACGTCGTCGTCTCGGGAGGGGTCGTCTCCGGCCTGGGCAAGGGCATCACTGCCTCGTCGCTCGGTGCCGCACCGCCTCGCCGCGCACCGCCGGCTGCAGGCTCGGCCGTCCCTCTTGACCGGAGAGGCGCGCGTGGTTTTAGGGGTGCTCCTGCGCCAGTCGGGCTACCGCGTCACCTCCGTCAAGATCGACCCCTATCTTAACGTCGACGCCGGCACCATGTCGCCCTTTGAGCACGGCGAGGCGCGTCGGTCCAAACACATATGCCAGCCGCCTCTCGCTTCCTCCCGTCGCCACTCTCCGCTCCCCGCTCTCCCCGCTCCCCACTCGCCTCTCGCTCCCTCCTCGCCCCTCCCCTCTTCCCT